CCCGCGGGTGCAGAGGGCCCCACCCCCCCCAGGTCCCCAGCTGTGCAGAGTGGGCCCCACCCCCACCGGGCCCCCAGGGGTGCAGAGGGCCCCACCCCCACCAGGTCCCCAGTTGTGCAGAGTGGGCCCACCCCCACCAGGCTCTCTAGTGCTAAGGCCCCCACCCAGCCGTTCTCAGGGGTGTCTAACCCATGCCCCTCACTCCCCTCATTGCCTCCTCTCTTCAGAGGCCTCTCCTGGCCAGTCCTGCTGGGTGTGGCCTAACAAGGCCTCACTGGCCTAGGGACCCTGGTCCTCTGCTGGCCTGAGGTGCTTTCGTGGCACATGGGAGTGGCCCTTCTCTGGGAAGCAGCACGACCTGGGCCCCGACCGGCCGCAGGGTCTGGCCAGGACCAAGATGGGAAGATGGGACTGCAGGCTCCGCTCCTCTCTCAGAGCACAACTGGAAGCAGCTCCCACCCGGGTCGTGCCTGGTCTGTACCGAAACCACAGCCTGGCCGGCCTGGTGACAGCCAGGCTTTTTTTTTTTTTTTTTAAAGTTTTTGCCAGAGCTTGCTGGAGAGACAGAGACAAAGAAGGGGAGAGTGAGAAACCTTCCCCTGGAGGAATGGCCATGCTGTAATTCCTTCTCCTGGGATTTTGGGCACACACACACACACACACGCCTGGTGTGATTTTCAGGCTGTTGGGTCTGGGACTTGAACCACAGTCAGCCGTGTGGGAGTCCAACACCTTAACTGCCATGCTGGCCCCAAGACAAGCAGCCTAGGGAAATGGGGGTCAGGCCAGGTGGGAGTAATGCTGCTTTACTGGCTGTACCCCCATCCCAGGTGACCTGCATCGGCTTAACATCCCCAACCCGGGCCAGACGTCGGTGGTGGTGGACGACCTCCTGCCCAATCACTCCTACGTGTTCCGCGTGCGGGCCCAGAGCCAGGAGGGCTGGGGCCGAGAGCGTGAGGGTGTCATCACCATTGAGTCACAGGTGCACCCACAGAGCCCGCTGAGCCCCCTGCCCGGTGAGTTGTCCCCCCACCCCACAGTGGCCCCCTCCTGCACGCCCGCACCCACACTGATGTCCTCCCTCTGCTGCCCAGGTTCCACCTTCACCTTGAGCACCCCCAGCGCCCCGGGCCCACTGGTGTTCACAGCCCTGAGCCCAGACTCCCTGCAGTTGAGCTGGGAGCGGCCGCGGAGGCCCAACGGGGACATCCTTGGCTACCTGGTGACCTGTGAGATGGCCCGAGGAGGAGGTGCTGCCTGCCCCCGGGGTCGGGAGGCCAGGGCAGGGGTGCAGAGGGGCCCTGAGGCTGACAGCACCTACCGCGCAGGGCCAGCCACCACCTTCCAGGTGAACGGGGACAACCCTGAGAGCCGGCTGACGGTGCCAGGCCTCAGTGAGAACGTGCCGTACAAGTTCAAGGTGCAGGCCAGGACCACGGAGGGCTTCGGGCCAGAGCGCGAGGGCATCATTACCATTGAGTCCCAGGATGGAGGTAGGGCGCCCTCCCTCTGCCCCACCCCTTTCTGGCCACACCTGTCAGCACCTTGCCCTGATCAGCCATCTGCCCATGCCAGGCCCCTTCCCGCAGCTGGGCAGCCACTCCGGGCTCTTCCAGCACCCACTGCAAGGCGAGTACAGCAGCGTCACCACCACTCACACCAGTACGGAGCCCTTCCTCCTGGGTGAGTCGCTGAGGGCGGGGGCTCCTGGCTCTCCTGGGAGCATGGAGCTGATAGGGAGGGGCGGGGGCCAGGCAGGGTCTTTCAACGCCCCTTTCCCTATAGACGGATTGACCCTGGGGTCCCAGCGCCTGGAGGCTGGTGGTTCCCTCACCCGGCATGTGACCCAGGAGTTTGTGAGCCGGACACTGACCACCAGTGGGACCCTCAACACCCAGGTGGACCAACAGTTCTTCCAAACTTGACCCCCTAAAAGGCAGTGTCCCAAAACTAGGGCCCCTTCCCCAACTCTTCTCTCCAGCACCTCCTCAGCTACTCTACCCTTGGAGCCTTGGGGGCCTAGTCCCTCTACCACCAACGGGGATAGGCGTCCCCCGGGAGCATGAAGGGGGCAGAGGTCCCAAAAGGCCCTTCTGGCTGCTCCCTGCCCGGGCCCAAACCTACTTGTAACCAAAGAGCCGGGGCCAGCGCGCCATGGGCCCGTGCTTTGTTCTGCACTTAATAAAGGACCTCGCTCCTGCTGGCTCTGCCATGTTCTGGGGGCCTGGAGGTGCCAGCCTGAGCAGGGGGGCAGGTCTGACACCCGGGCATACACCCACCTCCGAAGGCTGGCGGGCTGCACGGTCGAGGCACCAGTTTATTGAGCACCCAGATGCAGAAGGCAGGTGCCGAGGGCAGAGCGGTATGTGGCCTACAGGCCCCACGCCCACCACATGCTGTCCCAGGGCACCTCATAAGTGCAGCACCTTGGCTCCGTCGGCCGGCTGCGACAGGTAGAAGGTGGCGGTCCCACTGTAGTGTCCCTGAGGGAGAAGCGGGTCTGAGCACAGCGCGTCCTGGGGCCCGCTTCTCCTGCCCGCCTTGGCTCCGGTGCTTGCTCACCCGTATGTGCTGCATGGCACGGGATGCAGCTGAGGCCTCCAGCAGTGTCACTGTGCAGCCACCAAAGCCACCACCCGTCATGCGACTGCCATAAACCCCGGGCACAGAGAGTGCGGCCTCTACCAGTTGGTCCAGTTCGGGGCAGCTCACCTCGTAGTCGTCCCTGTAAGGAGAAAGTAGAAGGGAGTGGGCTGGAACCAGACCGCGCCCAGCAGGTACAGGACACCCAGCGGGACTCACCTGAGTGAGTGGTGACTCTCCACCATGAGGCGGCCAAAGGCTCTGTAGTCCCCACGGCTCAGGGCGGCCGCTGCCTGGGCCGTGCGCTGGATCTCACCCACGACGTGCCGCGCCCTCCGGAAGCCCTCTTTGCTCACTAGTTCTCTGCCAGCTGCGGAGGAGACAGCCTCAGCCAGCCACCCCAGCTTGTGGGCCTCGGGGGTGGTGAAGGACCATGGCAGGCACTGGCTCTGGCCACCTAGCAGCTGTTCACCAGGGACCTGCCTGGGGAAGGGTGGAGGCCGCAGGCGATCTGCTCCTGGAGAGCTCCTCCGAACCCAGGTTGGGGACTAAGCCTGCAGCCTCCGTGCCTCGACTACGACGTGGGACTCCCACATCACCCAGGGTGCACGAAGACTGCCGGCAGGGAGCTGGCCCATGGCGAGGCTCCACAGCAGTGGGGTACGCCTGACCTGGTGCTTCCCGGGGCAGTGGGACAGTGCTGTCCTCCAGCCACCATAGAGCAGGAGGAAGAATAAACTGCCAGTGGTCATGCTAGAGCTCCCACGGGCCTCTAGGGGCTGCAGCTGCACAGGCGGCAGGGAAGAGCCCGGGGTAGAGAGGCAGGGAACAGGCCAGGGTCAGAAGGCAGGGAAGAGCCCAGGGTCAGTAGGCAGGGAAGAGCCCAGGGTCAGTAGGCAGGGCTCCTTAGGAACCAAGGGCTGTCTCAGCGGGCTAGGGGGGAGGGCATGCAGACTGCCCTAACGCCAGAGGTTTAGGAGCAGAGGAGGGACAGAGCAGAGTGCTGCAGAAAAAGTGACCACCCCAAGCCAGAGGGCCCAGGCAGTGGCTGCTGAAAAGCCAGAGCCCAACGAGGGGTTTAATGTAGGGGACAGAGGGCGGAGACAGTGGGAGAATGGCTCAAGTGGAGGGACACAGTAATGATCCCGAGGTTCCAAACCCGAGTGGCAGGTAAGAGAACAGAGTAGGGAGCCAGGGGAAGCCTTGGGGAGGAGGTGATGAGTTGGGCTTGGGTAGGTGTAGGACGGGCCCGCAGAGATGCTGGGCAAGAGCGGGGGTGTGAGGGACTGCAGGCACGGAGTCCCCGGTGGTGGCTGGTACTGCACTGAGCACAAAGCCTGAGAGGCACGAAACCCGGTGGCCAGGGCGGCAGAGGGCGGGAGGCCCAGGGAGCACTGGGCGAAAAGCAGGGGAGAAGGGCCAGCAGATCTGGAGGATCAAGGCGGGAGTGCAGATGAGACAGCCGGGGCAATGGGCGTGAGGTTCTCTTCCGAGAAAGGAAAGAAAACCACATTTCTAAGAGGAGAAAACTGTACACTTTGGAGGCAGAAGGGAAAGAACCAGGCAGAGGACAGGCCAGAAGGCAGGTACACAGAGGGTGGGGCTGCTAGGGCAGGCTCTGCGGAAGACGCTGCTCTGAGCTACAGGGAAGCCCGAGGAGTGGTAGAAGGCCGAGTGGAGAGGAGGGATTTGAAAGCACTCGTGTGTGAAAACCTCGGCCAAGGTCGGGTGCACAGAGCAGGTGGGGCAGGTCTGAGGGCTGCTCTGGTGAATGTGAGTTCACCCAGGAGGAGGACAAATGGTCCCTCAGGGAGGGCCAGTGTCCCTCGGAAGGATACACCACACCCCGCCCGCCCCACTGCGGGGGCTGTGGGGCACCACTCCCAATGCAGGCAGCATGGTATGAAGGGGGAGTGTGGGCCGTGGGCAAGCCTGTCTCCATCCAAAACCCTGAGGCTAACAGTGAGCAGACCTGCTAGAGCCGCAGAATGAAACGGGCTCATATATGACCTTAGACCCCGCTAAAGACTACTTTCCTGGCCTTACATATCAGGAACCTTGAGTCTGTAATCCTACTTTGAAAAACCTAGTAAGATAATGTAAGTAAAGATCTAGATATCTGGCATGGTGGTTAAGGCACTGGACTCCTACATGGCCAATTGCAGTTCAAGTCCTGGACTTGGCGGCTTGAAAGTCACACCAGGTGTGTATGTGTGCATGCCCCAAATCCCAGGAGAGTGGAGGAGAAAGAACTGTGGCGAGGCCATCCCCTTGGAGGTAATGTCTCTGTCTCTGGCGAGGGCATGTGCCCTATGGCAAAAACCTAAAAAACAAACAAACAAAAATACCTAGAAACTGGAATGTTCACGACAGCATGAGGTGTACTGAAACTCAGGATGCACATGGCGCGGCCCTGCACGCCGCAACATTACGGAGATGCGCGGCACTACACGCCGCAATATCACGGAGATGCGCGGCCCTGCACGCCGCAATATCACGGAGATGGGCGGCCCTGCACGCCGCAATATTACGGAGAGCG